AAAAAAAAAAAAAAAAAAAAAAAAAAAAAAAAAGAACTGAAGGGCTTCATTTGCAGTTTCATTTTCGAAAGGGAGGGGCATGTTTGGCCACCCCACCCTGTTAACAGGGGTCAAAATGTTTTATTTTTTTTATTGTTTTTAGTGTTTGGGCCCATAGCACCACGTGTCTGAGGTCCAACGCGCGAATTTCGTTTTTCGGACTTCGCGGCGAAACCCCCATTGAACGGATTAACGGGCATTGAATTCCGCCCGTTCTGCGTTCAAAAGATACAAACATCTAAAGGCCCGCGGGATGAGATGGAAGATAGCTCGTTAGAAGTGAAACCCGTGCCACCAAAAAAGAAGAAGGCCACGCGATTTGATGCAGCTGAAGCACTTCGCCAGGCGAATCAATTTTTCAATCCGCATGCCCCAATGGAGGATGGAAAGATTGTCGCAGAGGCCATTAATATGCATCAGGCACCTTGGGTCGAGATGGGTTCTTTGGACGATGACTCTGTCCTTCCCATTCTCGAGCAGGTGGTAGCAAAGCAGCTCGCGATTGAGGGAATGAGGAAGAAATATGAGGTGGCAAAACGGTTGGGTCGTGTGGTGAAGTTCTTCGTGAATGAGACTGGCTCGACAGATTGGGATGAGTGTAAATCGCTTTACCCAATGCACACGACGAAGGATCTTTTGGAGCCATTTGAGAGTAACTGGAGGGCGAAGGGAGATGTGCCTAAAGCTTTAGTGGCACACGTTGAGCGCGCTAAGGCGTGGAAGGAGCTGAACGACAAGCGTGTAGGAGAAAGTCGAAGGACAAAGCAAAAAATGGCAATGGCTGAAGAAGCTACTGCTCACTTCTCTGACTGGACTGAGATCAGAGATGGGGACCACTCCGGTTTTGTAAAAGTCCTGGAAGGTGATATGCTTGATTTGAACAATTTGCAGAAGCCTTTGCCCTTCTCTTTGACCATCTGCGACTTCCCTTACGGATTCGATCTGCCGATGTCAGTCGATGACAACCGTCATTTTCCAGAGGATGATATTGTCCACGTCCTGCAGAACATCAAGGAGGTATGCATGGGGCCGCTGTGGACAGTTGTTGGATTCTGCTCTTTGGACGTGATGTCTTATGTGCGGAGTGCCTTTGCGATGGTTTGCCACTCAGGGCAAGAAGTGATCACCTGGTGCAAGCCGAACGTAATGAATACAGACGGGCCTCGTCTTATCAGTGCAACGAAATTTTGTGTAATCGGTTACTACAGCGTGAGTGGTAAAAGGGAAGCGGCCCACTACAATTTTGCCTCAACGGATGTCCTGCACAACTACCGCATTTTCGACGCTGTCATGAAGAAGTACAATCACCCTCTCGACCTTGAAGTTCTGTGTCCGTACCAGAAGCCTGTCGCTCTGTACGATTGGCTGGTGGACAAATTCTCCCCTCCTGGATCGTACGTCATCGATGCCTTTTCAGGCTCTGGAACTGGTGCAATTGCCTGTGTTCTTTGCAACAGGAATTGCCTAGTTGTCGAGAAAAACAGCCGGTGCATCAGCGGTATTCGCTCGCGCATTCTGAACGACATTGGACCTACCATCGAGAGAGAACGCCGGCGCAAAGAAGCAGAAGAGGAGGAAAAGCACTACAACCACGCGTTCATTGCAGAGGAGGAGGTGACCGGGACGAGTGCACAACCGACACATGACGAGCTCAAGGTCATCAGTCCTGCAAAGATAATGCTAGCCCCCTCGGCAGTGAGTGGTGAGGCTGTAACAACTACAGCGGCCCAGGCGGTTATGGGAGAGGGTGCACCAGCAGCGGCAGAAGGAACTGCGGCAACAGGAGCAGCAGCTGCAGCAAGGGAGGCACGGGTTGTAGGACCAGTAGCGACAGCAACAGCAACGACACCAACAACAGCTGCAGCAGCGGCACAACGCAGCCAAGGGTCCTGCGCAGAACCTGCGGCAAGTCAGGACTCGTCAAGAGGAACCACGACGAGGTCTAGGAAGAGGAAGCTTGCCGCTGAAGAGGTTACGAGCCCAAAGGCGACAACACATGTGATTGCGCTAAGCTCGAAAGGCCACTGAAGAGGAAGTTGGCCAGGGACACGGGATGCTCGCGGTAGCAGCAATTTTGTTTATAGTACTATAAATATGGCTACAGACTTTCTACGGACGGATTTGTAGTGCTTCAAAGACAGGTTTAAAGTGCTTATCTTGAACTTTTCTTATAGAACAATAAATCTGTCCGCAGAAAGTCTACAGACATATTTATAGTACTTTAAAGAAAGTTGCTGCTACCGCCAGCATATTTATAGTTCTCTAAACAAAATTGCAGATAAGCACTTGTGACAGAGAGAGAGAGACAGAGAGGGAGAGAGAGCGAGACAGGGAAAAAGAGAGAGAGAGAGAGAGAGAGGGAGAGAGACAGGGAAAGAAAGACATCTTCGTCCGCACCTCGTCCGCCTACTTCCATTTGCGCTCTGCCTGCACGTCCGCCGTCGCAGATTGGCGCACGGTGTGTGTGTGTACGCTGCTGTAAGTCCCCCTGCTGTCTGTTCGTTGCTGTGTTCTTCTGCAGCTGTATTCTCATCGTTGTATGTCCGCGAGAGAGAGATCTTCCTGTCCGCTTCTGTACGTCCGCTGCTCGAAGTGCCAACACCCCTTGTAAAGGGCGAGGAGCAACACAGTTGTTGTCGCTGATGATTGCCTTGGTACAATCCGGCCAGTAAGCCGATGTAGGATCGAAATGGATCCACGTAGAAAGGATTGCGCCCCTCGGAGGTTTTCCCGAGAAGAGAAACCAAACTTCATCAGTCGACTAGTCTCCTGTTCGCAACGCTGGTAGAGTTGGAGGTTGTGGGTCTGTGCTGCAGGGTGTGTGGACGTGGCCTAAGAGTGGTGGTACTCTCCTCTTTGGTTTGTTCGGCTTTTCAGTTCTGTTTCTGGACATAACCAGGACGCCAGCACCTCAACTGGGTAATGGTCCCAGATTTTCTCCGGGTTGTTTTTAGTGAGAGAGTTATAGGCAGAGACTAGAATCATGACACTCGGTTTTCCACGCATTTCTAGTGACCGCTCACGAGCAGCCTCTTTGCAGGAGACGGATTTATAGTGCTATAAACAAAAGTGAAGATAAGCACTTTAGCTCTGTAACACATCTGCCTTCCGTGCGTGTTGTGTTTCTGTTTTTTGAATAGCTGTTACTGACTTTGCCGCTCTACCTTACAGTAAATGACTTTGCGACCTTGACTTTGACTCATTGTGGAATTCTCAACTCGAGTTTTATTTTCTAAATGTTTGTCACCTGCGTTTTGTGTCTCTGTTTTCTGAATACGTGTTCCTTACTTTGGCGTTGTACTTTAAAGTAGAGCTACGAAACACCCGCGGACGCGTCCGCGGATCCGATCTCGGATGGCGGACGCAGATGGGGCCGCGTCTGCGGCCGACCAGGTCCGCGCCGCGGACCCAATTTTACAAGAATTTTCCTGAATTAAATAATAGGTAAAAAAAAAAAAAAGGGGTTGTAGGGAATTTTACACCCTACAACCCCATAATTTTGTTTTTGGAAAAATATGGTTTTTAGAAATTTTGAAAAATAAAAAACCGAAACGGTGCAAAAAAAATATATATATATCGTCACAAACAGAACTGCCCGGTAAACCGTAGGCAGAGAGAGAGAAGAGGACAACAAACGAGGAGCTGTGACAAACTGTTTCGTCGGAGTTTTCCATTTTTTGTTTGCAGTTGTTTGTGTTCTTCACATTGTTGTGTTTTTTCTTTGTTATGAAGATGTGTTGTTTGTGAATAAAAAAACAAGGAATGGAAAAAAAAACAAAAAAAAAAACGGCCTGCTGGTGAGGGACCACCACCAGCAGGCACCAACACATTTTGTGTTGCCGTTTCAGATAAAGATGGGTTTGCATATGAGACAGCAACACAAACTGTGTTGGTGTTGCTGACACTTGTTGTTGCCATCAACAGTGTTGAGAGAGAGAGAAAGAGAGCCACGTGGCGATCTGGTACGTGGCCATCTGCCACGTGGCAATCCGCGGACAAGTCCGCTAGGCCAGCACGCGGAGGGCATTCAAATACGACCGCGGACGAGGACGAAGCAGCAGGGCATAGCGCGGAGGGCGGAAATTTCTGGTAAGTTTTTTTTTACATTTCTTTTTTTTATTTTTCTTCTTCCTTTTCTTCTTCTTCTTCTTCTTCTTCTTCTTCTTCTTCTTCCCTTTTTCTTCCTCTTCTTCTACTTCTACTACGTCTTCTTCTTCTTCGTCGTCTTCTTCTTCTTCTTCTTCTTCTTCTTCTTCTTCTTCTTCTTCTACTTGTTCTTCTTCTTCTTCTTCTTCTTCTTCTTCTTCTTCTTCTTCTTGTGTGTGTGTGTGTGTGTGTGTGTGAGAGAGAGAGAGAGAGAGAGAGAGAGGAAGCCGCACGGCCCCAATGAAAGCCGAGCGGCCTAACACGATATCCGCACGGCCTGGATCCGCGCCGCGCGGACTCCTGAAAATCAGAGAGAGAGAGAGAGAGAGAGAGAGAGAGAGAGAGAGAGAGAGTGTGTGTGCGTGCGCAATCAATCAATCAATCATTCAAGCAATAAAGATCCTAACAGAATCTTTATTGATTGATTGATTGGTTGATTAATTGCACACACACACACACACACACACACACACACACACACACAATCAATCAATCAATCAATCAAACTTCTTCTTCTTCTTCTTCTTCTTCTTCTTCTTCCCCTTTTCTTCCTCTTCTTCTACGTTTACTACGTCTTCTTCTTCTTCTTCTTCTTCTTCTTCTTGTTCTTCTTCTTCTTCTACTTGGTCTTCTTCTTCTTCTTCTTGTGTGTGTGTGTGTGTGTGTGTGTGTGTGTGTGAGAAAGAGAGAGAGAGAGGAAGCCGCGCGACCTGAACAAAAGCCGCGCGGCCTAACACGATATCCGCGCGGGCTGGATCCGCGCCGCGCGGACTCCTGCAAATCTGCGCGCGCGCGAGAGAGAGAGAGAGAGAGAGAGAGAGAGAGAGAGAGAGAGAGAGAG